AGAAGAAGAAGAAGAAGAAGAAGAAGAAGAAGAAGAAGAAGAAGAAACAACCAACCCAGGTGAAGGAAAGCACTAGCAGATTTCATTTTACGATGATCTGCTCTTATCAAATCTCAGAAAAGCACAGTGACGTGGCAGGGATTGTACCCACTCTTAAAACCCTACCTCCGTTTTTGCCTTATAAATTTGGTTTCTCCAAACTGTAGGACTCCTGGGCATTAAATGGAAACATTGGCCGGCCAAGAGACAAAATGGCCATTTTTTTTTCTTTTCTTTTGGGGAACCCCAAAAACAACAACTCTAAAGTGGACAGAGAGCAATTACTCCACACCTCCGTCCGACCTTGCAGAATCCCAGAATCATTCCAACCCCAAAACTTCGACTGGAGAAACATTTAAAGCTTTTAAGCTTTGCCATGGTTTTTCTGACGGGCAAGGAAACGTCACGCCGCGTTCACTCAAGTCTAGGCATGCTGTGAAGAAGGGCAACCCAGAAGGAAACCACAAGAGGTTTGCACCAGGCAGGGTCAGCCCCCCCAGATCAGAAATGCTGTGCTTCAGCTGGGGAGGAGGGGGTCACGAGCACGTCGGGGTCTCATGCCCCGCCTTTCCAGGTTTACCTTCTTGGTGCACTGTCTAACCGTATTGATTAACTCCGAAATGACCATGTCCACGCATTTCAAGCAAGGCTCTTTAATCTTCTTGACTTGCTTCTTCACGATGGTCTCAAAAGCCATGTCAGGCGTGAAGAGACCAGTTCTACACACGGAGTGAGGGTTGTTGTTGGTGGTGGTGGAGGAGGAGGACAAGAGCAGAAGGAGATAGTAGGGCGAGGAGAACGTCATCGCATTGCATAAAAGGACCAAAGGGGTTGCCCTATTACACAGGAAGTCAGCCGCCCTTTGAGGAGGGAAGCGTGAAGCCCAGAAGGACAAGCCATGTGCCATGCCCATGTTGGAGTTTGATTCCGAGGGAGAGGTGGCACAGCTGACAGGGAGTGGGAGTGTGGCTCTGGTGGCTGTGGAGGAAACTGGGGAAGGGTACAGTCCGGCTGGGCATTCAGAGGAAGACCCAGGCCCACCCTCTCTTCATCCTAGGGCATGCAGGGAGGAACGGAGAAGGGAGCAACGTGGGTTATGGGGGAGAAAAAGGCCCTGATTCCCTTCATTAGCTGCAGCTGGGGAAACAGGATAAAAGAGGCATTTGTGCACAGAATCTTGCTGGAAGCAAAGCGTGCATTATCTTTGTTTATCGGGGTTCTGGCGTCCTCCCAACCGTGTGTGTTTCGTTATCTTTTGAGTTCTGCAATTCCTTATCCTGCCCTGTCCCGTTAATTGCTGCAGCATGGTTTGTGTTGGTTTTTTTTATTTATAATTCATATGTTCTTTGGGTTTGGACTGAATTTCTTCCCTTCAAAGACTGTTCTTGGGAGAGTTTTATTTTTCTCTCCAGCCGAACATAACTGGACATTGGGGGCCAAGTTGGAGGAATGAAAGGGACTTTGCCTACTTTTGTGACTTTGTTCCTTTTGTGCCACGCCCTTTGGGTTATCACATCATGAGTCAACTAGAATTCTCTAAGTTCTCAATAGAAGAGAACATTGGTAGCTCAGGGTTGAATTGAGTGGGGAAGAGTCCTTGGTGCTCTCTGAGCTTGGTGGTTTTCTTGGAGACATTTCATTAATGATGATGTTCCAGAGTTCGGTAATGAAACGTCTGCAAGAAGACCACCAAGTTCAGAGAGCGCCAAGGATCAACACCATCAAGGAGTGGGCTGCTGGGGGTTCGCAGGGTGGGTTGGGAGAGCCCCTAGCTAAGAACCTGTGCAGTTTGGAGAACCTCCAAATCCCACTCTTGGTTGGCTTTTCCCGCCATGTCCCTCCCCACCAGGAGTCCTCACGTGACCTGTTTTGGATGCAGGTGAGTGCAGGTGCGTGTGGAGACTTGGGGAGGGTGAACAACGGGCCTCCTGGAAGCTCAGAAAGGCTGGAAATGAACCCGTTTCCAGCTTCCAGAGAGTCTCTGGAGCCCATGGAGACTGTTTTTGTCCTCCCAGAGGCCTGAGGAAAGCTTCCAGAGTCCGGGAAGGGAAAAACGTCCCCCCATGGTGTAGGAGGCAACTAGGCCACCCCCACCCTACAACCGGGCAGAGAACCCTTGGCTAAAATTTTTGAAGCCCACCCCTGCCACCATCCCTAAGGTCTATCCAACCAGCTTCCTGACCGCCATCCTTCAGGGATCCAACTCCATTCACAAAGGACAACCGGCAAACCTGCTGGTCTTCGTCTAGTTCTGGAACAACTTATGTTTTCCAGGATTTTTAAGAGATGTTGGATGGTCAATTTGGGAATTGAGATCCTGCCACATTGTCTGGGGCTTGAGGCTGGTGGAGAAGTCCTGCCCAACATGAGCCTGTCCAAGAGACACTCTGGACCTCAGGGTTGTACTGTGGGTGCCTTGTCAAGGTTTATGGAGAAGTCCTGCTCAGACATGAGCCTGTCCAAGGGAAGAGAATCTCTGGAGCTCAGGATTACATTGTGGAGTCCTTGACGGTCTCTGGGCTTCAACCAAGCTCAGAAAGCACCCAGAACTCCCCAGGAACCTGTCCCTTGTGGGAAAATTAAGTGTCTGAGGACCATCCAGACCTCTGAAGAAGAGAGTTGGGGAAAAGAAGAGATCTTGGAGCCGGTCTCCTAAACACACTTTCTTTTTATGGCTTTCTGCAGTGCAAGCCAATCCAATTTTGATGGCAAAGCTCCTTAGATACAGATGGCCATCAACATCTATTTTGGGCAATTTCATTCCTAAAGCCCACACCATCTCAGGTCTACCTGTACTGGCATATGAAGAAATTTAAAATTAAATGATTAAGCATCATACATCTCATGCTGTACCTCTTCTGGTAAGTTTCTGTAACCACCGGGCTCAACCATGTCTCCTGTACATCATATATTATATTAAAGCACATTTCAACATTCATTTAACCTGGTCGCTCATCTGAGAAGAGTAGAATCCAAAAGTTGTGTCTCCTTTTGAACCCTAGTTTGGATGGGGCCAACCTGGTTCATTGGGCTCCAAGATCAAATTCTACCAAATGATAAAACATCGCATCCTTGAGGGACATCTAGATTAACAACTGTGTTGGCTCAGCTCTCCAGTCTACGGACAGTGGGGAGTCTAACTCATGGAAGTATCGGAGAAGCCTCAGACAATATTCCATCTCTATTGGATTATGAAGCTGAGCTTCGGCCACTATTCAGAAAAGTAACCTGAAATTATCCATGAGTAAGTGATCCTATTTTCACCACCTTCTTGTCCTCTTCAGGACAACATATGTTCCCAACATAGAGATGAAGACTTTATCTCGGGAGGAAGAACGTGTGGCCACAAATAAGTAATAGCAGAACCTGCCAAACTCTTGCAAAGTGAGTGGTCTGGGCAGGTATTTTGAGCCAACCTACCCTACCTCTGACATCTTCCGGCATGAGAATTCTAGAGTTATGCTCAGAAGAAGTTAGGAGACCATCAATACGTACCTGATACCATGGATGTTCTTAATCGCGTAGCTGATCTCTCTTCGGAGTTCTTTCTCGTCAAATTCCATCTGCACCAGGAAAAAGAGACACAGATGAGGAACCCCAAGAGAAGAACACCCCAAATTCCTTTATGGACTCAAGGGATCCACAAAGAAAGAGGTAGATTTAACCTTCTTTAATCTGGAGCGGTGATGGGACAACATCTTCTGACATTCCTAGAAACATCACCTAATTTTTTTAAAATTGGGTAGTCCTACAGGAGCACCCTTGTCCTACTATTCATCTTCCAGATGTTCCTCTCTAATCACCCCAGGAGATGGTTATTTATTTATTTTTGTTTGTCATATTTATATAGCCATCCAAATTTATTTATTTTAATTATTTATTTATTTTTGTCAATTAATAGGTATAAGCAAAAACATAGGATGCATAGAAGAAAAATTAAAAAATATTAAAGAAACAATAGGACAGGGACGGTAGGCACATTGGTGCACTTATGCACGCCCCCTACAGACCTCTTAGGAAAGGGGTGAGGTCAATAGTAGACAGTGTAAGGTTAAAGTTTTTGGGGTTTGGGGAAGAAACCACAGAGTAGGGTAGAATATTCCAGACATTGACCACTTTGTTGCTGAAGGCGTATTTCCTGCAATCAAGTTTGGTGCAGTTAACCTTGAGTTTGTATCTATTGTGTGCTCTTGTGTTGTTATGGTTGAAGCTGAAGTATTCATTGACAGGTAGGACATTGCAATATATGATTTTATATATTATACTTAGATCGGACCGAAGGCGGCGTAGTTATAGGTTTTCTAGGTCTAGAATTTCAAGTCTGGTGGCATAAGGTATTCTGCAACGAGTAGAGGAGTGGAGAACTCTTCTTGTGAAATATTTCTGGACTTTCTCAACTGTGTTAATATCAGATATGTAATGTGAGTTCCAGACTGTTGAGCTGTATTCAAGTATTGGTCTGGCAAATGTTTTGTATGCTCTAGTTAGTAGTGTGATATTACCAGAGAAAAAGCTACGTAGGGTTAGGTTAACAACTCTTAATGCCTTTTTGGCTATGTAGTTACAGTGGGCTCTGGCACTTAGATCATTAGAGATGAGTATTCCAAGGTCCTTTAGAGAGCTTGGATCATCAACAAGATCTTGACTATTCAGCTTGTATTTTATTTTCTATTTTTTTTTGCCAATATGTAAGACAGAGCATTTATTTGTTGTGGGGGACAACAAATTGGGGGACCATTATTGACAGGTACAGAATTTGATAGGATGCTCCCAATTTTGACCATTTGTTGTCTGTTTGACAGGAATGCTTCTATACAGTTATGCAGTTGTCCAGAGATACCGTAAGATTTTAGTTTTAAGAGTAGTTTGTCATGTACCACTGAATCAAAGGCTTTACAGGAGTCTATGTAGATTGTGTCTATTGCTTTGCCCTGATCGAGCTGTGCCGTCCATATGTTTCTGCAGTGTAAGAGTTGCAGATTACAGAATAGAGCTGGAAGGAACTCTGGAGGTCTTCTAGTCCAGCCCCCGGCTCAAGCAGGAGAACCTATACTACTTCAGACAAGTGGCTGTCCAATCTCTTCTTAAAAACCTCCAGTGATGAAGCACCCACCATTTCTGGTGGCAAGTAGTTCCACTGGTTAATTGTCCTCACTGTTAGGAAGTTTCTCCTTAATTCCAGGTTGTTTCTCTTCCTTGTTTAGTTTCCACCCATTGTTTCTTGTCCTGCCCTCTGGCGCTTTGGAGAATAATTTCACACACACACACACACCTTCTTCTTTGTGGCACCCCTCAAACACTGGAATACTTCATATTTAAATGTTATTGACCATTAAAACTGAATAGTTTTCTAGCGCTGTCGTGAGTTAGAACCTAGAAGTTCCGGACTTACAGGTCTAAATTTATATTTTAGGTCTTAAGGCTGACCTAAAGAGACAACCTGGGAGATATGAGGATAACAGTCAACGGAGGCTTAGTGTTACCTTCACAAGCTCAAATGGGAACCGTTCATGAAAGATACGATTGATCCGAGCACCACCGGAGAGTTCATAGGTATCGATCTGATCTCCAGAACCTTCGATGCGTTTCTCAAAGTCCACAGCAAATTGCTGGACCATCCTGGAGGAAAGAGAGAGAGAAATAGGGTTATGGTGGAAACATCTACTCTAGCTTCCACTTGATTTCCAAGAACATTGGAGAACCTTAACAGATGAACAGAGTTGGAAGGGACCTTATAGGTCATCTAGTCCAACTCTCCACCCAAGCAGGAAATCCTACACCATTTCTGACATATTGTTGTTCAGTCTTTTCTTGAAAGTGTCCAGGGATGAAGCTCCCACAATCTCTGAAGGCAATTTCTGTTCCATTGGTTGATTGCTTTCACTGTCAGAAAAATTCTCCTTATTTCCAGGTTGAATCTCTCCTTGGTCAGTGTCCATCCAATTATTCCTTATCTGGCCTTCAGGGGCTTTGGAAAATAGCTTGACCCCTTTCTCCTCTCTGTGGCAGCCCCTAAAATACTGGAAGACTGCTATCCTGTCTCCCCTGGTCCTTCTCTTCCCCAGACTAGCCAGGCCCAGTTCCTGCAACCGTTCTTCGTATGTTTCAGCCTCCAGTCCCCTCATCCTCCTGGTTGCTCTTCTCTGCACCCTTTCTAGAGTCTCAACATCTTTTTGATAGTGTGGTGACCAAACATTGGACCAACATTGAAGGACCTACTGCTCATAATCCATAGTCTGAGCTGCTGGAACTTTAATGGAACATCCTTGTGTCAACTCATAAAACATTCCTATGCCTGTTTTAGTAGTTGCCATTAAGAAAAAACAAGAGGGAGGGAAGGAAATCTGGAAGAGCAGTTGAAAGCAAAAGTACATTCCAACTCTTATCTTCAAAAGATTGTAACTAAACTACCAGAGCTTTTGCCCACAAATATATTTAATTGGAGAATATGATTGATGACACACCCAGTGAGAGGGAGGAAACAGGGTCACAGTGGACTGTAAATTACATATGCCAGAGTTGGCTTCATACAGGGCTGTGCTAGTAGGTCGCCTCTACTCTGTTCTCATAAATGTTTCCATGTGCATATCCTTGTTACTCAAGAGTTACTCTGCACATATCATAACAAAATCCTTTGAACTTTTTGAAGTTTGGCTCAAGAATCATGATTTAATTAGAGTGATTGCTGAAATCCTGACACCTTGACTGTTTTGCCTACAAAGTTCCTACTTTGTCCCGTCTTCCCACATATCAAGACGACGTAGGACTTACTGGAGCAAAGCTTTGGTTTTGCGGGCTGGATCATCCGGACGGAAGTTCTTGTATTCTTCTACTTCTTTCTCAATAGATAGCAGCTGACTCTGGAGTTTGTTCCTCAGGCCTGGGAGTGTGTCGCGGATGTGATTGGTCAGTTGCTGCACAGAACAGAAGCAAACATGGGGATCAGAACACGAGCCAAATTCTAGTTTTATATGCTCCTCCTTTCTTTCAGTAGCTTCCCACTTTGGGCAAGTCTTCCTCCTCTTAGACCTTTTCCGCAGCGATCATTACTCAAACGTCACATTAAGTAAACTCCATGGTCATTGAGTGAGTCTATTTCATCTAACAGGAGCCATGGTGGCGCAGTGGTTAGAGTGCAGTACTGCAGGCTACTTCTGCTGACTGCCAGATGCCAGCAGTTTGGCAGTTTGAATCTCACCAGGCTCAAAGTTGACTCAGCCTTCCGTCCTTCTGAGGTCATTAAAATGAGGACCCCGATTGTTGGGGTCCATAGGCTGACTCTGTAAACTGCTTAAAGAGGGCTGTAAAAAGCACTGTGATCTATATAAGTGTTATTGCTATTGATCTATCTATCTATCTATCTGTCTATCTATCTATCTATCTATCCTCTCGTGGTTGCACAGTAGTTAGAATGCAGTATAACAGGCTAACACACTGCCCACTGCTAGCAGTTCAATCCTAACTAGCTCAAGGTTTGACTTAGCCTCCCATCTTTCCGGTCTAATGAGGACCTAGATTACTGGGGGCAAGAGGCTGGCTCTGTAAACTGCTTAGAGAGGGCTGTAAGGCACTGTGAAGCGGTATATAAGTCTAAGTGCCATTGCTGTTGCTAACAGGTGAGCTTTTTTGCTGGAAACTGGACGTAAATGCTGAAAAGTCACGGACAGGTGACCGTGGGATGATGCAAGCAGTTATAAAGGTGAGCTGATTGGCAAGCTCCCCCAAATGCGATCATGTGACCATGGGGCGAGGAGGGGCCTGTGGCCACCATAACTTTGAAATCTGGTTGTAAATAGCTTTGGGAGGAGTGGGGAGGAGGTCTGTCATAACTTTGAATGGTTGTAAATTGAGGACTATGAATCCAATGGGCAGATTTCTGTGCCTCGGGGCAGCGCTGCAGGTAAACGTTACCTGATTCAAAGTTTTCTGCAAGTAGGGAGTGCCCATACGGTCAGCCATGTGCCGGTACGCCGGGTGGGAGAGGAAGAACTTGCGTTCGGCCGCTAAAGCCGCCTGGATGTCCTTCTTCCCATCGATGTCTTTCTGGCTACGGTTCACCACTCCGATGTAACCTACAGAAGGACACCAGACATCAGAGGATAAACACCTGGAAAGGCTACCTTCCAAAATTACAAAACAGAGAAGGGTCTAAGAAGAGTCATTGTTGTTATTATTGTTATTATAATCATCATCATCATCATCAAATTATGCTTTTTTTGAGAGGCAACTGGACTTTCTGGTTTTTCTCTGAAGACGTTTCATTCCTCATCCAAGTAGCTTCTTCAGCTGTGATGACCCAGGATGGGATACAAAAGCAACCAAGTCCCCAAAATAGGTGACGTTCCTTTAAGTCCTTCAACTTGGCCTCCAAGGTCCAATTATCACTGACTGGAGAAAAAAACTCCCCCACAAACAGTTGTGAAAAGGAAGAAATTCTGTTCAAACTCAAAATGCATATAAATTATAAATAGGAAAAAACAACAACACACTGGAGCAATTAATGAGGCAAAGCAGGATAAGGGCTTGAAGACGTCCTCAGTAGTCAGATAAGAACTGACCGATTAGAATTATTTCACACTTTGCTTCCAGCACTGCCCCGTGTGCAGTTTGTTCTTTTAAACAGTCCTCCCAGCTGCAGCCCATGAAGGGGATCAGGGCCCTTTCCTCCCCCATAGACCACGCCATTGACGTTTCTCCCTTACCCTCTTCTCCCTGCGTGCCCTAGGGTGGAGCGGAAATGGGCCTGGGTCTTCCTCTGAATGCCCAGCTAGCCTCTGCCCTTCCCCAGTTTCCTCCACAACCTCTGGAGCCACACTCGCACTCCCTGTCAGCTGATCCTCCTCTCCCTCAGTGTCAGACTCCAACAGGGGCATGACATCAGCTCTGACTGGATGGTAGGGAATGGAAGGATTTCTGCTCTTTGCAGACAGCTGGTCATTTGCATCCTTTTAGCAAGTCATTAAGGGCACTTGGAGGTTTATCTCAGGGTACCCTGGGTGATGCAATTGGGAACTGTTCTTCCAAGAAGAACGGTTCCAAGAAGACTCCACACCCATTTGTACCTCTCAGGTGACCCTGAGGACACAGATAAACCTCCAAGTGGCCTCAACAACCGTCTAAAAGGATGCAAATGACCAGCTATGTGCAAGGAATATAAATCCCTTCCATTCCCCACCACTATCCAGTCAGACTTTAAGAAGCTTCTTGGATGAGAACATCTTCAAAGAAAAGCCAGAAAACCTGGTAGCCTCTTGAAAAAACACCTTTTGGACAACCATGACCTGGAGGACTGGGAATCTCCATAGATATCAAATGATCGTTCGTCACATTCAGCTAGATGTTCAGACGGGATCTGGTATTTATGACCACCTATTGTATCTTTCTTGAAGAGGTGGGATAGACAGATGTGGATATTTAACGGGATTAAAGATCTCCTCGCAGGATGTAAGCTGTTCCAAACAAAACTGCCTTCTGCAATTGACCAATGGGGATTCTGTCAATGCCGAGAGTGCTCTGTTGGTCAAATTTATTTCGCAGCTCATTTTGCTCAAGTTTGAATCTCTCCAGCGTTTTTTAAAGATGTCATGTTCTCAACGCTCCAGTAAAAAAGTACAACATCTTTGAGACGGTCCCAAGTTTGCCTAAATCCAATAAATCAGAATAATTTGGGTGCTAAGGTTGTATGAACCCTAGCAGCAGGAAGGCTGGGGAGAAAAGGGGAGTGTTTGAGACTAGAATTTGAGGCCCCACACACACAATGGCTGAGTGTTTCCCCTCTTTAACAATGGACAGGATGCCTCGGCAAATCATTTCCTTCCTCTTAGCATCTATCAGAGAACGAAGAGAGAAGCCATCCAGGAAATTCTGCTACCTTCCTTCAACTGTAATTCTATCAGGGAAAATGAGAACATGGCTTTTTTTTCCCCCACTTCCTCAAAACAACAGGATGCTAATCAAAGAATTCCCAGATTCCTAGAAATAGACGGCATTGAAGAATCGAGACATCTAAGAAGAAATGACAACTATCCGTCTTTTATATATACACAGAGAGAGAGAGAGATAGGCATAAGGAATTTGACAAGCTTGTTGGGAGTCAATTCTCGTTGGAATCTGGCCTGATTTTTTACAAGCTGGAATTATGGTTTTTTGGGGAGGAAGAAGAGCAAAAGAAAGTTTTCAGCAAGATTTGGCAGAGAAATGGAACAGAAATGCGGCGTTGAAGTCAAAGGTTTTAAATCAGATCATTCCAGTGAGGTATTTTTCCTTGATATTTTTGTGATATTACTAACCCAGATGCTACTATAAGGAAAAATACTATAAGGAAAAAGCCACACACCCCTGATAGTTCTCAACTTACAGCAGTACCTTTTGTGGCCGTTTGAAGTTAGAACATCATTTTTAAAAAAGGGGACTTACAACCGTTTTTCACACTTACGACCGTTGCAGCATCTCAAGGGGTCCCGTGATTAAAATTCAGAGGCTCGGCAACTCATATTTATGGCGCACTGTCCCAAGGTCACATGATCAGCTTCTGCGACCTGATAAAGCGAAGTCCACGGGGAAGCCGGATTCACTCAACAACCATGCTACTCACTTAACAACCGGGGCAAAAAGCAGCCTTCCAATGGGGCAAAACTCTTTGAACAGATGTCTCACTTAGTGACAGAAATGTTGGTCTCAATTGGGTCATAAGCCGAGGACCACCTGAATTGAGGTTGTAATGGTAATGCTGACCTTCTGAGATTCCTATACCCCAGAAGGTCTACATTACCATTACAACATCATTACTACCCCCTCCAAAAAAGTATTTTTCATCCCATATTACTGGCTGTACCCTGGGCTGCCAGGGTGATTATCTAGGCACTTGAGGAATGAACTGTTTTTTCTCACTCCTTTTCTGCTGGCAGCTAAAAAGACCAAAGGACCAAAGGACAAAGGCCTGAAAATGGCCTGGGTTTTTTGGCCATTTTCAGGGCATTGTCCAGCGCTCTGGAGCCCACGAAAACCAGCTGGCTGGAGCGCAGGTGTGCGCCAGAAACCAGAAGACAGCAGCCGGCGATGGTGTGCGTGCCCACCGAGAGGGCTCTGTGCGCCCTCTCTGGCACGCGTGTCACAGTTTCGCCCTCACGGATCTAGATCTTTCCTCAAGCCAAGGAGAAACATCTCCCCGTGAAGCGTGATAGCGTTGTTGAGATGGCTGGTCAAAGGTGGACTTCAAAAGAAAGCGAGGCTTGTGAAGATAACAAGGCAAGGACCCTTACCTCTCCTTAGTGGAAGCAGCTTGTTCTCCAGAACATCTCGGGCATCGGTTCCTTCATCCATGAGGTCCAATTTGGTGATGACCCCAATGGTACGTTGGCCTGTTGGGTCACAAGCAGATAACTTTTTTTAAAAAAATTATTTATACCTTTTTTTTTTTTTACATTATACATTTTTGGTGTACACAAAATCTCAATATTCACATTGACAGGGTGTTGTCTGGATTTTGAATAATGATAAACAAACATTTTAATGATGCTCTTTATAACAATTATCATCTAAACGTATTAGTAGCAATATTTGCTTCTCCTTAATGATTCATCTTACGTTATTTAATTAAACATTCTTTTCAATTGTAAGTTTCTAACTTCTGCTTCTATTTTCTAGCCATTGATAAAATGTCTCCCATATTAATAAAAAGGATTCTGTTATACTATGAAATTTGGAACTTATGGTACAGTTGGCTAGAAGATAGACAAGAAAGGAATAAAAAGTCAAATAAAAGGGTATGATGGAAATTCATAAAATTATATGTAAATTTATTTTGTGATAAATAATTTGAATGAAATTTAGTATGACATCTAAGTTAATCAATATTTGATACAATGAGAGAGTTGTCAATTAGAGTGAACACTGTATTTGCTCGTGTTGCGATAAATGGAATGTTTTGATTTTAATGTATGTATATAAATTTATTTAATAAAGTATTTTTAAAAAGTATTCCGTTTACACCCTATCCTTAATTTTCATTGTTAAGCTATCCATCTTAGCACATTCTAATATTTTCTTTATTACACTTTCCTCTGTAGGAAGGTCGTTAAAATGAGGACCCAGATTGTTGGGGGCAAGAGGCTGACTCTGTAAACCACTTACAGAGGGCCGTAAAGCACTGCGAAGCAGTATATGTGTAAGTGCTATTGCTTGCTTCCTTTCCTTCTTTCTCTCCCTCTCATTTCTCCTTCCTTCCTTCCTTCCTTCCTTCCTTCCTTCCTTCCTTCCTTCCTTCCTTCCTTCCTCCCTCCCTCCCTCCCTCCCTCCCTCCCTCCCTCCCTTGCCATGATGGCAAAGTGATTAGAATGCAGTATTGCATGCTAACTCTGCCCACTGCCAACAGTTCGATCCTGACCAGCTCCAGGCTGACTCAGCCTTCCATCCTTCTGAGCTCGTTAAAATGAGGACCCAGATTGTTGGGGGCCCTAGGCTGACTCTGTAAACCACTTAGAGGGGGCCACAAAGCACTGCAAAGTGGCATATAAGTCTAAGTGCTGCGGTTATTGCTATTTCCATTGCTGAATTTCAGCTCAAAGGTTCGACTTTATACAAGATATATAAATCTGATGAATTAATACATTCGAATATAACCTCTTTTCTTCCTGTTTCTGGATCCCTTTGTAACCATCCATAATTCAGGAGACAAAAAAGAAACTGGTTTGCAGAAACTGACAGACTAGAGGTGGTATTCAGCAGGTTCTGACCAGTTCTGGAGAACCGGCAGCGGAAATGTTGAGTAGTTTGGAGAACCGGCCAATCCCACCTCTGACTGGAGATTTTACAGTATCTTTCCCCTGCCACGCCCACCAAGCCACGCCCACAGAACCAGTAGTAAAAAAAAATTGAATCCCACCACTGCGACAGACCCCACCCCCCGAGGCCAAAAACCTAACATGGGCCTTACCTTGAGGGTCAACTTCTTTGGCAATCTTAAGAGCATCGGAGTTGGCCAGATCGCTGTTGGCTGGAGAGACCGCAAGGATAAGGCAGTTTTCTTTGGTGACAAACTGCATCAACATGTCACGGATCTGGAACTCAATGTCCGCTGGCTGGTCTCCAACTGGAACCTTGGTCATCCCAGGAAGATCCACTAGGGTCAGGCTTAGGACTAAAGAAAGAAGTGGAAGAGTTTTGTGGCCTATCAGCTGCCGGCCTCTCCAGCAGCCGAATCAAAGGAGGAGGAGGAAGAAGAGGAGGCATGAGAGTTAGGGTCAGCATCAAGGCAGCCTGAGAGTTTCGAGGGGGAAGAGAGAATGGAGGTGGCAGAGAGAGACAGGCAGAGGCGGAGCCTGGGCCGTCCGTCAGCCCTCAGGTGGAGAGTCAACAGCCCCCAGGTCTGGAGGTGGCTGATGAGGAAGAGGAGGAACTGCTGGGTCCAGTGCCTGATGCACAGATATGAAAAAGGCAGAGGAGAGGAGAGCAGTGGAAATCTATGGGCCGGTCCTTGGGACGGAAGAGCCACCACTGCTAGCGAAGCCCCACCCTAGCTCTGGGGATCAAAGGCAGGTGGCAGAGATTAATAGATGTGGCAGACAATATTAATAGAAACTTTTGAGTTCACGTCAGAGAGTTTGTTGTGTTTTGGGGGAGCTGGGTCAGAACAAAGAGATACAAGACTCAGAAGGACTCACGGATGGACAGCCGCGTGAAGCTGGAAAGAAACCTCAAGTAGAATAACTGGCTATCAAGATGGGGGTCAACTCATAAAACATCCCTGTGCCTGGCAGTAGGATGGGGAATTAAGAATTAAAAATTACAAAACTACGCCAGCCATATCACGCTAAGCTTCAATGGGAGGCTCCTTCCCCTGTTAAGTTTTGTTTCCAACTTATATACAAATTCTCAACATCCGAGAGCTTCTCGCCATCACCCGAAATGGGGTTCTGGAGTTCTGCTCCTCGCTCTCGGTACGTTCCACGACTCACCATGGGGGGAATAAACTCGCAGGTTGATCGGGATGGAGGAGATGCCCTTGTTGGAGCCGGTGACTCTGTCGGTCTCGTTTTCGATCTCCATACGTATCTCCTCAAAGTCCATGAACTTCTTCCCTTTGCAGTGCAGGAATTCGCCATATTCTGGAACAGGAAAGAGATGGTTAGAAGACGATGGGAACAAGGAAAGTGGCCACTCCTGGGGGAGCAAAGAAGAGGTCCCAACTCATGGATGGGGAGATCTTAAATCAAGATGTTCTCTTGGCCACCATTATTTGGGTTGGTTTTCAACTTGGGAGAGAGGCAACTAACTTCTGCTCTCTGGAATTATCTTCATTTTCCCCCCCCTCCCCTTACTCCTCCTTGCGGGCGAAGCAAATTGGCTTGGAGTAACACAGGAGGAAGTGTTGTGGTTAGCCGGCAGCAGGTGCGGACGGCGGAGGAGAGCGAGGACTCAGATGAGGGGCCAGGACCATCAGGGAGTGGACAGTTGCCTTCAGAGTTTGTGGGGGCTGGCAGCAGTGATGAGGAGGTTCCCGAGGAGCCTGTGCCAAGTGCACGTAAGTGCAGGGCTGCTCGTAGAAGAGAGCAGTTACAGCAGCACGGGTGACTCAGGCGTAAGGCTTCAAGGTAATGGCCCCTCGCTCAAGAGGATAAAAGCCAGGTGTGAAGAAGCGTTCTTTGCAGAAGGCAAAGACATTCTGAAACTCAGCCTCGTGGACATTATAGTCGGTGTTTGAAAACTCTTGTAAACTATTTCTTATCTGTGGGGTTTTGGCAGCCTTGACAAACAACTTGGCAAGGCTCTTTCTCGTCGGAGCTAATTAGTTGGAAGCAGCCTTTTATCTGGGAAGAAACCGGATTCGTAGATGAAACCTTAAAAGGCGGGGGCTGCTGCCTTTGTCTTGTGTTTGCTCTCTTGGGACCAGGTTGGGTCAGAACAGGAAGATCCCACATCAGATCGTAATTCCCACAGTTGTGCTCTCAATCAATCGAACATTTGGAAATGGTCTTAGACTTCCGGAAGAAGAGAGAGGAACCCGCCTCACTATACATCGAGGGGGCTATGTGGAGAGAGTTTCCTCCTTTAAATTCCTGGGAGTCTACCTGAGCGAAAATCTCACCTGGAAAATCAACACAACTCAGGTGGCCAGAAAGGCCCAATGGAGTCTCCATTTCCTTAGGGTCTTGCGAAAGAATAAAGGGGAACAACGACGGATGAGACCTCCTTTTACCCATCCACCATAGAAACCGTCCTCACATATTGCATGACGGTGTGGTGCGCCGGCTTGACAGCCATGGATTGAAAAACACCACAGAGGGGGGTGAATGCAGCACAAAACACCTTGGGCTGCTCCCTTATACGGCTAGATGACCTCGCTAGGGCTCGCTGCCTGAGAAGAGTGAGGAAAATTCTCAGGGCAGACCCGCACCAGCGCGTCAGCCCTTCTTCACTCTCTTACCATCGGGTGGGAGATAGAGAAGCGTAGCCAGCTGCAACAACAAGCTAAAGAGCAGCTTCTACCTGTGGACTGGATGGAAAATAACTTGATGTCAACGCAGTATGACCGCCTTGCAGGGCTGGCGCATTGTGCAACAAGATCACACCGTGTAATAAGACTGAGACTGGGTTCGGGACTTCTGTCCTCACTGTGAGTTGTGTTGGGTGTGTGTGTGTGTGTGTGCACGAAGGGAGGCTCAGCCAATCTCATTGTACACCTAAATAAAGGTAAGAATAAATGTTTATCGTCGATGCACAACATGAGTACAATGACATTGAAATGAGCCTCCCCTGCAAAGTCTTATCCTATTAAACCTAATTGTGGTGTTTATGTTGCGTTCAGAAGTCTGACAGACCACGGATAAAAGTTTATTTTCCAGACTATTCATTTCGCTGGCTCTGCTTCTATTATCTCCTGCTCGATGGTAGGGAGAGGAAAGAAGTGCTGACCAGGGTGTGAATCGTCCCTGAGGATTTCTCATCTCCTCCTCTCCCACCCTGGACTTAAATTATTATTTTTTTAAAAAAATAATTGTTATTGCATTTTCCACCAATGCAAACCGTATTCGCAGTTCCCACGGCAGGTTGACATCTACACGCTTTATTATTTTATAGTTTCTACAATATTTTGCACATATCATATCAACCAACCACTGTTATCTCCATCTATCCTAATTCATCCATTTGTATATTTTACATATTTACATATCTACGCACCATTCTTTTAAGGTCTCTTCTAGCTAACCTTCACTTCTTGTTTCTTATCTCCGTTTCCAAACCATTCGTACCCCTTGTGCCAAGTCGAGTAATAATCGGAATCCTCCTTTTCTTTCATTTTTAAGGTGAGCATATCCATTCCCGCACGTTCTATAATTTTTGTATGACTGTGGACTTGAATGTTTTGGTTGTGTCAGGATGAAGAAGAGAGAGGATTTAAAAAAGAGAAAAAAATTCACATACCCGTCGTGGCATTAACCAGTTGCAGAACCAAAGGGCGTCGGGTGACGATTCCCGATCCACGGGGCAGGAAGTCCCTAAAATTAAAAGGAAGAAAATTAAAAACCTTGCTCGGGGATTCTTTCCTTCCTTCCTTCCTTCCTTCCTTCCTTCCTTCCTTCCTTCCTTCCTTCCTTCCTTCCTTCTGAACTGTGGCCAAAATGCTCCGGGTAGCTCAACTCAGCCTGACCCTCAAATCTGAAAAGCTCTCTGCAAGTTGATGGGCTTTCTTCTCCTCCTCCATCTTTCTAGCAATTCCACCGTTTCTTCTTCCCCACTCCATCGTCCGGGAGGGAATCGCCAGTTTCCATGGCAACCGGGCAAGAGGATGTTTATGCTAGCTACAAGCACTGCAGTGGCCAGCATGAGAAGGATGGATGGAGGGATGGAAAGAGAGGAGAGGAGAGATGGATAGATGGGTGGGTGGATGGATGGATGGATGGATGGAAGGAAGGAAAACAGACTAAAATTCAGTAAAAGTGTTCACCATAGAACCAATCAGCTTTTTAAAAAGATTCATTTTAGAAAGGAAGGAAGGAAATGAGGGAAGAGAAGGATGAATGGATGGAAGAAGAGGAGAGAAGAGAAGGATGGATGGAGATAAGAGGAGAGATGGATAGATGGATGGATGGATGGAAGGAGATAAGAGGAGAAATGAATGGATGGATGGATGGATGGATGGATGGATGGATGGAAGGAGATAAGAGGAGAAATGAATGGATGGATGGATGGGTGCGTGGGTGAGTGGATGGAAGGAAGGAAGGAAAACAGATTGAAATTCAGTAAAAGTGTTTACCTTAGAACCAAAGAAGGTTCATGGAAGAAAGGAAGGAAGGAAGGAAGGAAGGAAGGAAGGAAGGAAGGAAGGAAG